GGAAGTCTCCATTTTCTGTTGTGTACACCAAACCACCTCAGCATGCTTTTAACTTGATCAAGCTGCCAAAAGTTTCTGGTATTAGCATAGCTACAGAAAATATGGCTAATTAGTGGCAAGATGTTCAAGCAAAAGTTAGAGCAAACAAATGCCAAGTATAAGAAAGCAACATACTAGAATTGTAGTAAACAGATTTTTGAAGTTGGTGATTAGGTGTTGGTGTTTATGAGGAGAGAAAGGTTTCCATTGAGGATTGATAAGAGCTTGAAAATACGGATGTACTTAGTGGTTGATAATCCTAGGATTATACTGTTTTATCTAGGCTTTTTGGCCAGATTTTGGATACTTCTTATTTCGTTTGTGCTTGAATTGCAACTGAATTACATATATTTTATGTTTCAGGCCAAAACATGCAGTTAGAGCAAATACTGAGCGGAATTGAGTTTCTGGACCCAGAAGCAAGCGAATCTCAGGATTCGGGGAAGTTCTGAAACGGATTTGAAGCACTATGAAGCTTGTTCCTATTGGAGAGCACCAAAGATTGAAGAGTCAAGCAAGGAAGCAAGCGGAGGGCAGTTTCATAATTTCAGAATTGTTTAGAAAAGTTCACCGCAGCAAAGTTCTTTCTTCACCGCGGCGATAAACTCTCGGGACAGATAAAGAATTGTAAACCAACTCGTTGCCGCGGCAAAGTTCTTTCTTTGCTACAACGAATTCTGCAAGTTTCAGTTTTTCAAAATTGTGCGTTTTATTTTAGGCGAGAGTTTTAGGTTTTTTTGGACTGACTATATAAAGGAGACTTAGTCATTTTAGAATGGAGTTCGACTTTGTTTGGGAGAAAGAAGAGAAGATTGGAGATTAAAACTCTTTGGATTCATCAAATAGGGAAGATTTTGTTCTCTTTTCTTTATTCCATCATGTTGAATGCATTGTTTACAGCTTTTATTTCGATTTGTGTTAATTTTAGTATGAACTAACCCACTTTTGGGTTAGGGTTTTGATGTAATTGGGATTTTAATGTTTAATCAATATATTGATGTTGCTTTTACATTCCATTGCATGGATTGTGTGATTACTCTTGTTTTTATTGAAATTACTTGTTGAGCATGATGAGACTAAGAAGTGAATCATGTATTAGCTTTTTAGGGTAATTGCCATTGTTTTATTGAACGCTGGAGATAGGTTTGAGAATCAATGAAATCAATTTAGGATTCCATTTAGCTTAACGAACTTAGAAGTATTAACCTTCAATTTGTCAGGTGCGGAAGTTTAATAAAGATAAGTAGGAAAACACAACCTGAGAAGGTATGTTTTACACATGAGGGTGTCTGATTTATAATCCGTGCATGTGAGTGTAGAAGTAACAGAATTCGTAGATTAATGAAGTAACAGAATTCGTAGATTAATTCATAAAATCCTAGTGAAGTCAAAACCCTAACCGCTTTGTTTAATCGATATTTCTCTTGAATTAGCGTTGCTGTCATTAATTAGTTTTTAAAGTACATAGTGGATTTTGTTTTAACTTTAGCTTGTTTTCTCCCACAAATCCAAACATCTTTCGGTTCTCCAACTTGATAAACAACTAGGAAAATCAGTGCTTAACAAGCAATCCTGGTGGGAACGATACTCTACTTATCACTTTATTACTTTTTGTGACTAGTGCACTTGCTACACATTGCATGTTGTAATTTCAACGCATCAGTGGTTTATGGAGAATATTTGTGGGAAATTGGGTTCAATTTGAGTAATTTAACTTAATTATTTCATAAATGTATTTTATGGGATCACGGTTATGTTTTGAGTGTTTTTAGGCTAAAAGTGCTTAAAGATGATATTCAGATGAAGGATTATGTCGATGATAGAATGTGTGATGAAGAGAAACAAATGGTTCGTGATTCAGAGCTGAACGAAGAAGTTATGGTGATTTGAAGTTGAAGTGAAAATCCTGGAAAATGCTCTAGTTTTGAACACGCATTAGTGATTCAACAATAACTTGAGCTGTAGATATTAGATCATGATAATTCTTAGATTGTTGGAAAGCTGATTAAAAGGGCTACAATTTATATCTTACCACTTGGTCAAATTCTAATGTTTTCATGCTCAAAAATCACAGTCTTTTCAAGATTGCAAGTTCTGGGCCAGAATCAACTATGCCTAGGCACAATGCCTAGGCATAGTGTCGTGGCATAATCGCGATTCTGGAATTTTCTCCATTAAATTTATGATGTGTATTTTCTATTTTAAGAATTCTAAAGTGATTAGGATAGTGGGAATCATAACCCTAAAACTCTAGGAGTGTAAATATAAGTCTTTAGGGGATTTTTGGAGAGATAAAAAGGAAAACTATTAGAAGAAAAGGGAAAAGCATTAGAATTTCTGAAGTTTTTGGAGCAAAATAGAGAAGTTATTCTTTGTTCTTCCTTAAGCTCATGATTTTTATTTTAATAAAGATAATTGTTTCTTTCATAATTGCTATGAAATAATTTATTTTCTAGGGCTAAGATGTAGTCCAATCTCTTGATTATATGTTAATTTATTTATGTTGATTTTTATTAAGATTTCTTCCCAAGTTTTATTATCATGCCTAATGCTTTTGATTCTTACGGGTCCAAGAATTGAATGAACTAATAGACTATGTTGAAATCGAGAGATGATACTTAGTTGGTCTACGGTAGTAAAACCATAGGTCGAGTGAATGCTAGAGATAGGTTACCGCGGCTTGTGAGGTTTTGGTAAACTCCATAGAGCGTAATGATCTCCAATTGCTAAAATCTAATTAGAGATAATTCGGGTTAGTAATTGGGAGTTAATTTGATAATTATTTGAGAGAAAATTAGTGGAAATTTAGGGAGTTTGACCTGTAGGAAGAGCTTAGTGAAATTAGCATAAGTTATCAATAAATAGGAATAAGAGTTGGTGTGAAATCTATGCCCTAGGTCTAGTCATCTTGTATTAAAACCAAAGATTTATTTAGTTGTTTTCTTTTTCAGTTTTTTTAATATAATTTCAATTTTTTATTTTAATTGTGATTTTTCTTGATAAAAATTGTGATTAATCATATAGTAATTAGATAGTAAATTTTGGTAATTGATAGTAGTAATTCCCTTGGGTTTGACATCCGTATTCATACACTTTATTACTTGCATGATTTCGTACACTTATGAAAATCACAACAACGTTTTGGCGCCATTGTCAGGGAATTGCTAATTTGTTTTACCAATATCAATACAAGCTATTTTATTGCTAATTTGATTTTGATTTTGATTTTGATTTTGTTTTGTTTTGTTATTTGTAATTAGTAGTTTTCATATTAGGATTAGTTTGTTCTTTAATTAATTTATTTTTATTTTTAGTGTACTAAAATTTTCTTGTTTTCAGGTTCTAATCAAACGCAAGAATTAGTTCAATGGCTGATATAGGAGTTGAAGTTGTTTAAAGAGCACTTAAGGACTACTCTAGTCCTACAATTGGAGGATGTGCTTCTAGCATTCAGAGACCACCGATTCAAGAAAATACCTTTGAGATGAAGCCTGCCATCATTCAAATGATACAACATTTGGTGCAATTTGGAGGTTTACAAAGTGACGATCCTAATTTGCATATTGCAAATTTATTGGAGCCTTGCGACACTTTCAAACACAATGGAGTATCAGATGACACAATTAGGCTTGGGCTTTTCCCATTTTCTTTAAGGGATAAAGCTAAGGCTTGGTTGATTTCACAACCACCTGGAAGCATTACCACGTGGGATATGTTGGTTCAAGCTTTCCTCACAAAGTACTTCCCGCCTGTTAAGTCTGCCAAGATGAGAAGTGACATCACTAATTTTTTTCAGCAAGATATGAAGTCACTTCATAAAGTTTAAGAGAGTTATAAAGATGTGGTTGCAAGTGCAAACATTCTACAACAAGTTGGTTCCTAATACTCATGATAGTTGATGTTGCAAGTGAGTGACCTTTGAACAATAAAACACCAGAAGAAGCCTATAAATTTATTGAGATGATGGCTTGCAACAATTACATGAGACCTTTGGAAAGGAACGTTCCGAGGAGAGTAGCGGGAGTGCATGAAGTCAATGGCTACACCACATTAGCCACTCAACTTTCAACCATCCAAAAAAAATTAGGTGTTACTATCACAGTTAATGCTATTGAAACTTATTCTCTAACATGTGAATTTTGTGCAGGAAATCATTTGTCTATAGAACCATCCAAAAAAAATTAGGTGTTGCTCTTACAGTTAATGCTATTGAAACTCATTCTCCAACATGTGAATTTTGTGTAGAAAATCATTTGTCTATAAATTGCCTAGTAGAAAGTCTGTTTGCTCAACCCAAACAAGTGCATTATCTCACCAATTTTCAAAGGGGGCAAGGGAATCCATACTCAAGCACATATACTCCAGCATGGCAAAATCATCCAAATTTCTCGTGGAGGAATAATAATGATCATAAGTCACCTCTCGGTTTTCAAACTCAAGAGACAGAAGAAAATTTGTAAAACGTGCTTACAAAATTTATGGAGGAGTCGGGCAAGAGATTTGACATGAACGAAGCTCAGCTCCAAAAATATGAAGTACTCTTGAAAAATCATTCTACATCCATTAGAAACCTTGAAACTCAAATGGGGCAAATCCATGATATTTTATCGAGGAGAGTTCAAGGATTGTTGCCAAGTGATACAGAGAAGAATCTGAAGGAGCAAGCCAATTCCATTAATTTGAGAAGTGGCAAGGAGCTGAAGGAGTCAAGCAAAGAAGAAGAAATTAAAGAAAAAGCCAAAAATGAGAAACTGGATAGAACCATCAATGCCACGACGTAGAATCCAAAATGGGTAATGTTATAGTACATAAGCAGAGCTTGAGAAAAATTCCAAGATACGAAGAAAAATGAAGCAACTCTTCCACACCTTCACAGAGTGAATAAATAGGAATTGGACAAGAAATTTGGTAAGTTCATTGACATGTTTAGAAGCTTACATAATAATATTCCTCTTGTGGACATGTTGGAGCAAATGCCAAAGCATGCGAAGTTTCTAAAGGAGTTCCTCATGCACAAAAGGAAGTTTGAAGAACACGAGAGGGTCATGCTCACCGAGGAATGTAGCGCTTTGCTTCAAAAGAAACTACCACTAAAATTAAGAGATCCAGGGAGCTTTAACATTCCTTGCACAATTGGTAGTTTTTATTTTGATAAAGCTTTATGTGATTTAGGAGCTTGCATTAACTTGATTCCATTTTCTATTTTTAGGAAACTTGATTTAGGAGAGGTGAAGTCGACCACGATTCATCTTCAATTGGCTGATAAATCCATAACATATCCCAGAGGAATGATAGAGGATGTCCTGAAAAGGGTAGACAAATTTGTCTTTCGGGCAGATTTTGTAGTTCTTGATATGGAAGAAGTCTGGAACATACCTTTAATATTAGGAAGGCCTTTGCTAGCTACTAGTAGGACTTTAATAGATGTACACCAAGGGAAACTAATCTTAAGGGTGGAAGACGAACAAGTGGAGTTCAATGTTTTTAACATGGTGAAATATCCATTCGAGTAAGATACTTGCTTTGAGATTAACATCCTTGATGATGATAATCCGTGGATTATACAGTTTTCATTAGACTTTTTATTCGGATTTCAGGTACTTTTTGGTGCATTTTGACCTGAATTGTTGTTTAATTCTTTACATTTTGTGTTTCAGGTTAAAATGGACATTTTGAGCAAATAAGGACAAAATTGGAAGTTTTTGACTCAGAAGTTAGGAGAGTTCTAAAGCAGGATAAAGTACGATGAGGCTTGTTCCAAAGGAAGAGCACCGAGAATCGAAGAAGAAAGTGAAGAAGCAAGCAGAGTGGCAGTTTTGAAAATTCAAAAATTTTCAAGTAGCTTCGCCACGGCGAAGTACGCCAATCATGAGCAAGATCTGTTTCTCTCTTCGCCGCGGCGAGGTTTCTTCTTCGCCACGGCGACAGTCGTAATTTCCAGTTTTGTAAAACGCACAGTTTTACTTTGTGTGGGTTTTTCTTAGAAATTTAGGGCGAGGTATAAAAGAAACACTTAACCTTTTTGCCCAGGGTCGTGCAGGAAGTAGGGTTAGCAACTTTTACATTGTTTTTGGATTAAGCTTAGAGAGATTTAGCAATTAGAAGGGTGAAGATTCGATTTTGAACCAACAATTCATCAATTGGGGAGATTTCTTGTCCTCTCTCTTACTTTTCGTTATGTTGAACTTGACTATTATCGTTTTTCTTAATTGTAGTGTTAATTTAGCTATGAACTAACCCATTTTGGGTTAGGGTTTTGATTGTAATTCGGATTTCTAATGGGTTAAATTATTGATCATGTTATGTTCATATGACTATGTTTTGATTATGTGTTTGCTTTGAGTTTTAATGCTTTATGTGATGAACATGATGAGATTGAGAAATGAATCATGTTAGGCTTCTTGGGTAATCACCATTATAGTATTGGATGCTAGAGATAGATTCAAGAATTAATGAAATCATTGTAGGATTCTTATGCTTAATGAGTTTGGATTTGTTAACCTTCAAATTGTTGGGTGCGGAAGGTTAAAAAGGAAGAATAGGAAAACATAGCCTGAGAAGGTATGTTTAACACCTTAGTGAGTTCGGTTTACAATCAATGCATATGAATGTGAATGTAGTGTAATTTTTAGGTTTAACCCATAAAATTCGAATGAAGTCAAAACCCTACCCGTTTTACTTGAATTGATTATCTGTGCTTTTCATCTTGCATTCTTAGTTAAATTTTAGTTTAAAATTTATTGTTCAGTTTAATTAAAATTGCTCCCATTATTCAAAGAAGTCGATTGCTCCAACTTGAGAATAGTAGAATCCTTAGTGTTTAGCTAACAAGCCTCATGGGAACGATACTCTATTCATCATTATATTACTTATGCGATTAGTATACCTGCTACATATTGCATGTTGTAGGAAACACGCATCAAGTTTTTGGCGCCGTTGCCGGGGACTGTTTTAAGTTAACATTGAGTCTTTCTATAGTTAGCTAGATTGGAGTTTTTGTTTTTTGTTTTTAATTTTCAGTTAGTTTGTGATCTCACTTTCCTTCATTTCTGTTTTTGCAGTTTATATGAAGAACGAGACGTCAACCAGTGGTCCCTGTTGATCTTGAGCTTGAGAGAACCATTAGATGACGTAACAGAGAGAGAAGAGAAAGAGAGGATTTAGTTGTAGAATCAGAAGAAATAGTTGTTGAAATGGCTGAACCAGAAAACAGGACACTGATTTTCTCTATTCGATTACTTCTAGTTTTAATATGTTGTGCAATGTTATTCCAATAAAACTATTATGATTATGAATTAAGTAATAAACCCTAACTTCTCTATTCGAAACATCATTAAGGTAATTGAATCAATCCAACATTCATAAAGCATTAAACCTAAACTCTTTTACAAATTCATATACATAAATTTGGTATTAAGAATAAAAATTGTTCAAAACATAATTAGGGTTCCATCCTCCCCTAACAAAAGAGATTTACTCCATCCCAAGAACAAAGAAAGAAATAGAGAAGAAAGAAAACATAATCAAACTTGAAAATACATAAAAATCAAACTCTTAAATCTGATCTCCAGTCTTCAAGCCCCAAGAATGCGTCTTCTCCTCTAAAAAATATGCAAAATTCATCCCTTGACAACTAATCTCAATTACACTTAAATACTCTAAAAACTGCTAAGTGAAAAAGGAAAGAAAAACTGATAAAAATGCCCTAATAGTTTCTGCCACAACCTTGGCTGTGGCCAAAATTAAGTCACCACAGCCTAGGCTGTGGTGTTTCCTGGTCTCTTTGTTCCACCACCATGGCCATGGTGAACTACCAAGGCATGGCCATGGCCTTCAAGAATGTTAGGTAATCTCAACTTCTTCAAGCTTTAAGTCTCAATTTCATTCCAATACTCCAATCTACTCAATCAAAGCCTAAAAAACACAAAGTTATCCAAATCAATAGGTAACCATTCATATCTCAAACTTAACAAAAACAAACATCAAAACAAAGGAAAAAAATGAGAAGTTAACTAAACTAACGTCAAAACAACCCTAAAAACACTCAAATTATGCAACTTATCATTTATTGTAAGATTTATAACATGTATTTGATTGATAACATGTTATTTTTGTTAAATCTGCCAAATCTACTTTTGAATGAGTGATTCAATTGATCAATTGGTTTAATAATGTGTTGATGGATGTTATATTGGTTGGTTGGTACCCTGGTCGAATGCTTGTGCGTTCAATTTGATTTGGATACGTGTTATTACATGAAAAACTGCAAAAAACGTGAATCGTACGATTATGGGATTTGCAGACTTCGCTGTGGCGAAATAACAACTTCGTCGCGGCAACGTTCTTGTTGGAATTTTAAAGGCTGTTTCGCCGTGGCGAAATAAAACTTCGCCGCGGCGACAAAGTTGCTGTCCCAATTCTGTGTTTTTCACGAAGGGACCAAACTACAGTTTTTAATAACCTATAAAGCCAATAACCATTCTGCACATATAAGAGGGTAATTAATATTTAACCCACCCAATTCAAAAACTGATTGTTTTTTAAATGTATGCCATGTACTTGTTTGTACATTGCATGGTGCCCGGTACATGAACCTTATGACTTATGGTGAATGTTTTAAATTATTTTTGGGTACGTATGGTTGTAAGTTTTAAAATAGGGTTTGCGTGTCCTGCCTTCCTTCCCTTTCTCGATGTACATTCTCTTCTCATCTCATTCCCCTCGAATGTAAATCGAGGTTTCTAAATTTATTGATGTAAAATTACTTTAAGATTAATTTTATTGTAAATTTAGTATGATGTTTTTGTAATGTACTTGAGACGGAGCAAAGGATGAGGCAATCGTACTTGAAGACTCAAGATATTTATTACAAGACCCCTAGGTGACTTACCGATTCCTCCGGGCTCGAGGAAATCGGTTTTAGTTGGGCCATGTACCAGCAGATTTTAATATTTTGTTTAGAATGTATGCTAAGGTTTACTGTTCAAGAACATGCCAAACAATGTCATTCTAACAAAGATAATAATCTGGTGAGACACTGAATAAAAAACCCTCAATTAAAGTATATTAAGTCATGTAAGCCTTCCATCACCATGGTTTTAATCAAACCACTATTCGTCGGAACCTTGTTCGCCAAAGCGAAGGGTACACTTCTACCAGTGGGAGGTAAAAATTCATTGGAGTTTTCCTTAATGGTGATGGGTCGACTTAAAATGACGGTTTTGCTTGTTCGCTAAAGCGAAGGTTGATAAATGCATCATAGGCATAGTAGAGAAGTACACATATTATATGTACATGGTGGCATGTAGTGTCCACTCTACTGATACTGAGAATCACACTTGAGGATGATGGTTGGGGGCTATTGGATTGTGTGATTGGCTTGTTGGCTTTTTCACATTTGAGGTTGATAGTAGAAGCTATCAATTGGTGTGGATTAAGTTTGTTGGCCTACCTAATCAACTCATTTTGGCTTGTTTGCCAAAGCGAAGGTTTGAAATGGGCAAGATGGGATCTCAGTCCACTAGGAAAGCCAACGGGCTTTCCTGAGTTAATGGTGAGGGCTATTGACTTGAGGAAAATAGTGGGAGCGTTGTTTAATAAAAGACCATATTAAATAATAATGAACTTTATAATGACTTTATCTTTTCTGCAATTGTAGATTCACCAAAATGAGCATTATGAACCTGCGACCGGTAATCGAGAAAGAAAATAGGTTGGATGGATCCAATTTCTCATACTGGCATCGTAATCTTTGGATTATACTCAAGTCAGAAAAGAAATTGTATATCCTTGAAAAGCTATACATGGCTGAGCCTGATCCTGATGCCACTCAAGAAGGAAAGGATACTTATCAAAAGTTCCTTGATGATGCTGATGGTGTTCAATCCTTGATGTTAGCATCGATGACACTAGTGCTACAAAAACAGCATGAGAATATGGACGCTACTGCCATTATTCTACACCTCAAGGAGCTTTTCAAAGGGAATGCTTGAAATGAGAGGTACGAGGTGTCAAAAGCACTATTTGGAAGTCGTCCAACTGAGGGAGCCCAAGTTGGTCCTCATGTGCTCAAGATGATCGAGCATATAGAAAGGCTTGAGACTTTGGGATTTGAGTTAGATGTAAAATTACAAATGGATTTAATTCTGTAATCCTTGCCTGACTCTTATGCATCGTTCATAATGAATTTCAATATGAACACAATGGTAAAAACCTTGTCGGAGCTTTTGAACATGCTGAGGACTGCAGATCAGGACTTAAAGACGTCCAAGCTTGTTTTATTAGTTGCTGTTAGTAAAGGAAAGAGTAACGACAAGGGTAAGGCCAAGGCTAAACCCAAACCCAAGCCCAAGCCCAAGCCCAAAGGACAAGGTGCTCTTGGGCTTGACAGTGGCATAGGGAAAGGCAAAGTAGTCTGCTTCTTTTGTGGCAAGTCTGGCCACTAGAGGAAACACTGCAAGGCTTTCCTCGCAAGTAAGAAGAAGTCAGATGCTACGACTTCAAGTATATTTAT